TTGTGTAAGCATGTACTTATAAGTATAATATTTGTGTTTTTAATTTTTAAGTAACCCACCAATATTATATAAATAAATGCTTCATAACGCTATTATGCTTTTATAACACGAATCGAATTTTTAAAGCAACATTACYCTGCAATTCTCATCGATAATGAATTCCTAATAATTATTGTTCTTGAACCAATTCTCGTTTGTATTTAAGATTTTAGGCACGTTAAGTGCATGTTTACGTTATAATACGAAAAAATTGGTGGAACAAATTTAATTCTTGCAGTGCCTAATATGTTCCATATATATATATGATTAGATCATATTATTAATATACGTGCAAATAATATGTATGATACGTACGAAATAACTATTGCTTTTCGTTGTAATATACTATAGTCGTACCTACGTGTTGAAAATACAGTAGGTCATTAAATTATTTAATGTATAATCTCGTTTGAACTATTTGATAGTTTTTATGTTTATCTATAGTTTATAATATGTAATTATTTTCTCATCATTGTTGCAAGTTCAATTGACATTTAAAGCTTGAACACAATGTAATAGATATTTTTTATTAAATATCACTAATCATAAAAAAACATATTAATTGGACCAGAATGAATTTTAATATAATAATAGTTGAATTAATTTAAGGTTAGAACAAGATCGACATATTTAAATGTATTGCTTTTAACGGTAATAATTGATTTTTATATACTGGAGATTTGCAGMATCTATATGTATATACATAATGTATATGAATTTCCGCTCTTCAATTTCCATTCAATATAAGTCCAACGATTTTACTATGTATAGTCTATACTAAACAGATATTTTACATCGTTTTTGTGTTAAAGTATGTAGTTTATAACATAGATATATCAATAATATTTCATGTTTGCGCGCGTTGTGTGTGTAGGAAATAATACAAACGTGTTGGGAAACTAAGATCTTTTGTAGAACAATGATTTTTTTTTTTTTTCATAAATATGGTTACATGATATCAGTTACGAAATAAACAAGACAATATATTATACAGGTATACCTATGTAGGTTTAATATGAGCTTTGTAACGATGATACTCATACATACAATTATCTACTATAACTTATAATTTATGTATAAGTACATCATGATGTATATATTGTTTTTTTTTTAAATATTTAGTCAAATCTGAACCTTGGATAGATAATATGCTGCTTTCACGCAGGCATTGGATAATCTAATCGTCTTAATCCTTTTACTCTAATGTTTTATTCAGATCGCACATCTGCAGTGGTWGTATATTATAGCATATATTATAGTTTAGCAGTTAGGTTCGAAACAATACCACGCTTAGCGCAGTAATCGTTTCAATTGTCCTTGACGATGGTGCGGTAGGTTGGTTTTGTTTTTATAATATATAGTAGTTATCAGACGAAAAAAAAATATTAATATAATATAATTTGTAAAAATGGCATTGACCACAATTCATAATTAGTTGTAGGATATTACTGTTTATTTCTATATTTACGATGTACTTGTTGGTTCTACAATATAATATTACTACTTTTATTGTGGTATTAATTTTCGTTTTTCTGGTACGACGTGTAACCTACACGCTTGTAACCTAACTAGAACGAATACATTTGTAACGCTTTGGAGGAAGGGGRAAATCCGTACAAATAATAATTCGATGTCGTCCAATGCGATATACCTATCTATACTATCCGAAGTGTTGGACATGAAACTATATATTTTTTTTTTTTGTTATTAAACGAAATACACCCTCGACGACATAGGCCATTGGATTACAAAATTTTAATTTCATTGGGTTGAGATTACATTATTGACAACTATATATTATTATTATTATTATATTGTTATTGTCATGGATAGTTCTAATAACCGACGTAACCGTCGATGAGTGATTTTTTCCAAAATCTCGATCATAATGCTAGCTGTTGCTGCATTTTTGTTATACTGATTTTCTTTGTAAGGATTCATAGTTTGATTTGTATCCGTGTGTGTTCAATGTTGTTTAGTATATAAAATTTAGATTATAGGTTTATCCATTTATAACCAGATAATGTAGGTATTATTCATTAAATGTAAATATACCGTGGCAATAAAGATTTACACAACGGACGTCATTTACATATATGGCTATATTAATATATAATAATAAACACATAGGTATATATATATATATATATATATATATATACTATATATAATATAATATAATAATATGTTACTCTCTTTGCAACCTACGCATTTGTTCGTAACCGAAATCGTAAAATCATTTATTATTATGACAAGTTATATGCGTTGTATTATAACAACGGAGGCGATAACACGAACATTACGTGTTACGTCCGTAATATATTAGACACCAGCAGTATAATAAGTAATAATTTATATCATTAACGAAATCATTGATGGATAATTAATGATGATTATTTAACCATATATTAATTAAATTAATCTATACCGTTTAAAGAAAGTTCAACAGAAATTTTGAAGATCACTGTTATTGTTTTACTACACTCGTCTAAAACTCCCGTGGATATGGAAAACAAAATCTATGTTTTTTTTAATTAAACTATTTTTTTGCACAGAATTTTAGTGTGCGATCTCTTCATGTGTTTATTATTTTTCAATTTTTATCATTTACTAGCATTAGCTTTCAATAATGATCATCTCTTAAAACAGTTGTCAGGAAAATTATATATGYTAGTTGATTGTTTTTGAGTGGAACATTTGAAACATATCTCTAATTATTATTATGCGTACTTGCGTCGTCAGTTGGGTTTCCGTTCGATAACTTTTTGCCCCAATGAACACTGAACAAGTGAATCCTAATATTATAATATATATTCACTTTAATAGTTAATCTAATTAGTAATCACAGTAGTCGTTAAAATGAAAACTTATGTGTTTTGTTATTGTTTCGGTCCTCACAAATTTATATTGTTTTGCCTTGCAATTCATTTTAAATATTTATTGCAAAAAATTTGAATTAATGCTATTTCAAAACAAAATCCAGTAACCATTAACCAATATTATTAGTGTGTATTATTATGTCGTTTAAATTTATCGCAGATACGTTCCTACTGAATTTCTAAGTACTTATATATGCGATTTCGTAATATTATCGGTTGTATGCATCATTCGATGAATATATTCAATTTATTTCATTATTTTTTTTCATTAAAATATTTAAATCTACATAGTACATACTTATTATGTTATAATATTGCGTTATAATAATGGTTCATACAGTGTAAGAATGAGTTGTATTTTAAAATTGATGTATTGAAAAAAAACAACTGGAAACTGTCCAAATCGTCGAAATCCTTCCATAGTAGTTTTTTCTCGGCGAACGGTAGCCAATTTCTTTGGCGTTAAATTCCTTTCATCGTCTCCTCAACTAAAGTGTATTGCACGTATATAGGTACAACGTGTAAATATACTCGTACGCATGTGCTGCTTAAGAGCCAACAAATGAGAAACATGTGTCTATCCAGTACCCGTGTACATTTTTGCGGAATGTCTACCGGAAAGCTCATGGCAGTGTTTTGTCAAACACATTTTAAATGACTGATTTGGAAGAAAGAATCGTGTATTTATAGTAGATGTTATAGAATAGAATAAAAAGCACGCGTAATGCCGTGATATAGTAATGGACCTGCAGCTATAAAAAGAAAAATATCAGAAATATCAAAATATAATATAATAATAAAATAAGTATTTGTAAATAATTTAGAGTTAAACCCATTGTTGAGAGTTGTTAAGAGCCTTGTATTAAATTTTCAAGCTTTTCTACCCAACAAATAAATTTTTATCGATATWAATTTTAAAACAAACTAATAATGATCGCAAATTGCAAATACCTATGAATAGTTCAACTTAAGTCGAACATTTTTGAAAATTGCATGGTGGTCATTTGTTTTAATGTTACATCAAAAACCAAAATTGATTTTGTCGAAAACTGATTGTGCGTAAAGTTTCCCGTTTTTCCCTTAGTTTTTAGTTTGTTTTTCTCGATTATTTAGAAAAGTATTAA